TGATGCGCGGTCGGCACGCGACGCGCAGGCGGGGCTCGACGTCATTACACGTGACGGACCCGGGGCATCTTCTCGCGGGGGAAAATTGAGCGAGCCCGGCTTCTCCTGCCGTTCTCAGTGACATTTAGGGCGTCTTGCTGTGCGCAAATTGCATCCTCGTGCTCAGATGGTGGCAGCACTCGTTTCGCTCGGTATGCTCGTTGCGTAAACATTTTACAAAACCACCGCAAAATACATATGCCGATAAACATAGCGTGAAAAATGGTACGTTACGTAGTAAGTGCGCCAATCACCTCGCGCGTGTGGTGCGTGTACTGTTTTTTAACCAGCCATGTGCGATAGATCTTTCGCACGTTATTATTTTAAACACACACACACACACAAAAGGAATGTTGTTTCACACGCGGAAAGCAAAACATCTGGAACCGTGTTTCGCACACAGCCTGTTAAAATAATAGTTCTCTTATAATATCATTATGTATTGTTTATCAAAGGGTATACGGTTGTAAAAATGTCACTTAATCCATAGAATGAAACTGTTTACATTTATTGATTGTTATCCTCTCAATCATTCTTTCATCCCATGAACTAATATGCAACTGACTAAAAACTCAACTTCAGAATATTTACAGTGCATTCATGTGTTTTGAACATATAACGTAAATATTGTAGATTTTAAAATCTCTATTTATTCTTTAAATATGACGATCATTTGCCATTCCCACTCTCGTAAACTAGGAGAGTTAATTTTAACAGGGAACAGAATTCATAATGATGATTTTTGTTTCACTTACTGACAATTAATGAAAATGCCGTTAATCATGTATAAAATAAGTTACTTTAATAAAATTTATAAAAAAGGGAAATAGCAAAAAATACGTACCGGAAATTTATTCTCCTTTAGTAGATCACTACCACCACTATTGACATCATTAACAAATGTATCATTAGATTTCTTTTGAAGTTCGTCCCCATTTCTCGTGTTTTTTCGAGAATATTCAAAATTTCGTCCTCTTTCTACATAATATGCGTGATACCCTAACTTCTTTACGGCCAATGCCATAGCAACCAATAACAATCGTAGCGTTCGTTGGGCTAATGGTGGATTTTTATTATGATTAATTGAAATGAAAACATTTACTAAAAATACTATAAAATAGAATCTTCTTTGTCATGACACATATAGCTAAATGATTATTATTTGCCCGTGCGACATTACATTTTCGCCGAAGTGCTAGTGCAATAAGAATCTCACTCGCCAAAATATATCTGTATTCCTTAATAATTATGTGTAATATTATGGAATATATATTATATATATATATATATTGTGACGTACCTGGGAAACGGTACTTTCACGACAAATAAAATAATCGAAAGGACGGGTACATTTTCGTGAATGGTCTCCAGGGGAAATTTTTGACGCTGCATAGAAGAATATTTAAAGAATTCATTTGTGCAATTAGAGGTTTAATACTGTCACACTAGATACATTAGTTCTTTACAATTCGCAGTCGGCAAGCCTTTTAAATTAGTTCGTGCACGAGTAACGCTACTTTGAAGCTTTCGATGTCCACCAGCTGACTGGAAGCGAGCGTGGCCAACCGTGGCAACGGCGGCGCGCGCTCGGCAAACTCCGCCCTCCGTCCCAAGTTGTCGGAGCCAATGTTCGGCGAGTTGGTTCCGTGTACTGCCCCCAGCACTCAGCGGCGTCCCCGGTCGGCAGCCCCCAAATTACAGGCCGTTCCCTCAATTCACCCATGACGATTTGTTCGCACGGTGCGGCCGCTGCGCATTACATCCAAGCGGACATGGGAATGCGTGTCTATCGATCACTTAAATCGCACTGTTAATGTTATTTCATGAAATTCGGTCCTGGTTCGCACTACTGTTTCTTCTAATCATCTTGATAACTTATTTTAACCACCTCTAATCTCCCACTCCAATAACTATAATCAGTTCCACACTGTGGTAGATTTCACCACACATTTGTGTTGGACATCACAGGCCCATCCGCACTGCAACCCGCGGCTTTCCCTCTATATTCTTCACCGGCGCTATCGGCCCCCTCTCGCAATATTACCCCGGCGCTGCGTGGATCTCGTTTCGCTACTTCACCCGGCGCGCGGTGGCTCCTTGTTCGCTACTGACTAACCGTCACTCGCGCTCGCGCACCTGCCCCCGTTTTTTTTTGGGGGGGGGGAAAAAAAAAAAACCCCCCGTTGGGGTGGCCCAAAAAAAGCGTGCGGCGGCGTCACGCGCTGATCAGAATCAGCTTCTCTTCTTATAATTAATAACAGATTGCTAATATTATGTAGAACGTCTTCGTTTCAAATATATATATATATTATATAATAATATTTATATATTATATGTATATTCATTGATCGAATAAATATGAAAAGTTGGCTCTAAAAGCTAAGGTGAATGAAGATTACTTACTAAATGTATGATTTGAAATTAGACAAAACTTGAAATATCGATTTTTTTGACATCTCTTCTAGTTTGTTGCAAGTACTGTTTGATTATAATCACAATGCCTACCCAATCCTAAAATAGTTTATTACTGCAGATGTTTTGAATGCAATCTTAACTCCATTATCTCTTGTACATGACCCAAGTAAGACCGCTATTCAGGGCAACATTAAGAATTGTCTACAATGTCTTTTGAATAAATGTGCTCTTTTATGGTATCCGGGCGTGGATTTGGGCCACATGAGATTTGCTTCCTGACACGTGCAATTTGTATTACAATGATTCACAACCGAAATTGAGATCGGACCCAGAAAGCTAAGTTCTTTCATTTTTTGTTCCTGAAGTTTCTAACCAACCCATGCTTGCTCCGTGGCAAAAATTCTGTTAAATTATTTTCATCCAATATGTACCGCGATTGGTGTATCGAAGTTTGGTTGTATCATTTGAGGCCAGCACAATCATTTTACACTCCACCGCTCCCCTTCTTCTCGTCGCCATTTTCGTTGACTCGTGGCCCAACCCGCATGGCCGCTCCGTCAACACGCCCCCAATCTGCCCGCGCATCTTATCTCCCACCTGCTCTTCCGAAGTGCTAAGCCAGCTTATCGCGCTCGCGGGGCTCCGCTTGCGGCGTGCCGTGCCTGCGGTGTTTTTTTGTTGTTTTTTTCCGCCGCCCACGCTTGCCCGTGCCCGTGCCCGTGCCGTGCCGTGCCGTGCATCCGCGCCCGGCTGCGAGCGGCGGCGCGTGCCGGCGCACGCGGATTCCCGCACGGCGCCGCGCGCGCGCTTATCTGCAACCGCGTGACGCCGCGTGCGACCCGCGTCGTGTGCGACGGGTGGCCGCGACTGCCTACCAGCTTCGACGCACGGGTTTCGGCACCAATTTGCCGTCGCCCTGCGTCCAGAAGCACTACAGGGACGAGTGGTTTCAAGATACTCGTACTATGAAAGTATTGGCTTTGTCGTTTCCATGTCGATGTGATTTAGCTGCTTTGTGTGATGTAAGCATTTCCAGGGCGTATTTTATCTGGCAGTCTATAAACTGGCAATTCGATTTAATTTTCAGTAGGAAAGCTGAATATGATTGTCTAAGATTAGGCCTCTGAAATAGACAAATATCACTGTTATAAGTCAATATCACTGTAAAGTCTGGTGCTTTGTTTCATCATTAAAACCGCGGCATATCAATTTTTTTAAAACCATGAAATTACATTGAGTCTGAAATGTAGCCTGAGTCTGAAATAAGCACGTTTTTCATAGAATTTATAGAATGTTATTTATACCATTCTGGTTTTCACACATACATATGAAGTATTAATTTCAGTTTACAATACAGCGTATACAGTGAGTAAAATAATATGAGCATTGATTTTATACAACAGTAACTCTCGATTAAAGTGACTAAGCCTATTTTTACTAGATGAATTTCAATTTGTGTTCTTCTGTTGCAGGTTGGTATCCAAAGTTCTTCAACGCAGTGTTGGTGCTGTTGGGTGAGTCTGATTGCGGCTCTCAGTTTCTGATTTTTCCAGACAATATTGAAACATTTTATTACTTTTATATGCCCTATTCCAAAATTTCTCCCGTATTTACTTGTGGGGAAGCTGTTTATCTGTCTCCCTCTGGATGGTGAATACTTGGGTGATTAAATATCATTTGCGAACACAGCATCTAGGATGGCCACTCCTGGAAAACATGAAAAACGAATAAAAAAAAAGAAAAAAAAGGAAAGATCAGGAAATTTAATTACTCTAGAAAAATTGAGGAAAAATCGGGGAATTTGTAGAAAAAATCATTAGAAGCCAGGGAAAAGTTTGAGATAATTCTAAAACTATACTTTTTTTATTTTTTTTTCCCTCCATTTTATTTGGTGAGTAGGTTAGTATTGTTCTTTGCCACTGTGAAATCAGAGAGCTGACTGCTATCAGGGTAGCTTTAATATTTTTATTCAAGTAGTGTGAAATTACAACTTTTTTTATCAGATTTTTTATACACACTGGAAAGCAGGAATATTTCTTTCAGGAAATGAGTGGCACTCTGGCATTCTTCAGTTGAAGTTTCTCTCCATCTTAATGCTAGGGGCGTCATTCACTCTCGCTCCACAGCCTCGTGCCTTCTGTGGACGACACAAGTGTCTGACACGCAATGCGCTCTTCACAAATCGCGGGGCGATAATTGCACACCGAAACGAGTAATTGAATTATTAAACGCAGCGGGCACTTTTACGCCTCGCCAATTTCAACCTAGTTTCGTGGGAAAGGTTGCTCAATTAAAAGAAAATCGTCAGTTTGGCGTCGCCCGGACACACAATCCAATTAAAGAATTATCTTTAGAAGCCGGTTTTCCTTGCGTCGTCGCTTACGTGACGGCTTCAATTTTAACTGAATTTCTGAAAATAATGGCTTTCAAGAGTCTATTGGAAGTTCATCGAATTATTTTTTTCCTGATAGTTTGCTTTTTGAGTAGCGGTTGAAAGGTCGACATTGGCTATGTATCAATCGTAATATTCGCCTGTGATTTACGATCTTTTTTTCTGGGAAATTTCTCCGTTATGACCCGAGACGAAATGTACTTCCCACACGTAAAATGAAATGGAGAGACAGGGGTTTGGCGCGATGCTTTTCGAACAGTTTGAAATGGGAAAGATCTAGATTTGTAAAAAATATCATCTTTTCTGTGGCTATTAAGATATCATTCCTAATAGAATTATTTTAGGGCATATTGCAAGTCATAGGTGATAAATCACCTCCTCATTTATTGCTCAGAACGACCATGCCTGATGTCTTTGACAGTAATTTGTGTCAGCATTATGGTTTGCACAGGCGAAATCGGTCGATAATCGATCGGGAGAATGCGAGTAAATTTGTACATACGAAATTACGACCGAATACCGGGTTCATTTTCTGCCTGACTTGTGTAGCACGTGGGACCTCAGTATTCATTTCGAATCCAATAATTTAATGCGCTCACTAGCGTCTGTTGGTCGTGCTTTGTGAATTGCCAATAATAAATTGGAAATTTCCGTGTTTCAATTGTGTTCCTAGGAATTGTATTTCACCGGGAATTGTATTTCGTATGAATAAAGTACATTTAATTATTTTTTTTCCGTTCGTTAAAACCTGCAGCAGTGCGCCCGCCGTTCGGTCCGACGCGTCGTTCGGGGATAAAATTAGCTCGGTGGCCGGGGGTTAACAGGTAAAGCGCCAACACGGGGACGTGCATTGCAGGTTGCAACCGGCAGCGGTAATAAATTGCTGAGCGTTTTTTATTTCCACATTAATCTTGACGCTAACTCTTTCTAATCGGGTGCCCGATCGTGTACAGCACCGAGGTTGGGTTCCTTTTTTTTTTTTTCTGCTGCACACTCGTTTTTCAGCCTACTCCCTGATACCGGCGCCGACAGCACTGCGTAGGTTGCGGTCGCACTTGTCCCCGCAGCTGTTGACGAGGGCAGGACTCCGAATCACGAGGAAATTGACTGCGAAGCGCTTTTGCGTGAGTAATGTCAGGCGGCGTGGCGAAATGATTATCCGACAAAAAGTGTCGATCGCATGAGGTGTTTTCGAATGCGATTTTTAGCGCAGTGGTGTGTGTGTGTGTGTGTGTGTGTGTGTGTGTGTGTGTGTGTGTGTGTGTGTGTGTTGGCGGCGGTGAGAAATGTGACCTGACGCTGGAAACGTAATATTCTTCGGGATATGCGGGGTGGAAGCTTGTTGTCACATGAGCTGTTCAGGCGTTAATTGGCGAGCGTGTATTGGAGCGTGGCGCGCACTTCGCTTCCGATCGAAGTGCACGCGCTTTGTTGCCTACGGCGCTCGCAGATCGATACCTATAATTGCGTTCCGAATCCACCGAACTGGTAATAGACCTGCGATGCAGAATGAACTCTCGCTCGCTCTTACGTTTTGGTTATGCATTAGTTCCTTCAGTGGATAGACGTGTGTTTTAAAATTATTCGAAATTAATGTATGATTTTTCTGTTTAAAGTAATCGCAGTATTTGTGCAAACGTTTTCAACAAACATTCACTTACATTGATATTTTCCATTTGCCCGCTCTCAATCACACCTATCCACCGTAATTTTGAGGATTCGTTTCTTGTTCAACGTACACTCGCACTTGCTCATTTACCTATTGACATCCCGCCTAATGGACTCTAAGCGGTAAATGCTTGCCAAATTCGAAAACAGTGTTATATTTACTACACAACCTGGAGTGAAGTACTTCATATCTAATCGGAAGGAAACATGTTTTCAACTGTGAATGTTCGATGCAATAGTTTCTTAGATACTACTGTGTCGAAGCTACAAGCTCGATGATTCAAGATACTGTATTCAGGCTTTTCAAAACTTTACTTACCATGTAAAACTTACTCAAGGAGCTGGTTATACCCCTTTGTTATTTGTTAATGACAGGTCGATAAGGTGAGCACACGAGAAATGTGGGTTGTATCGCTTACGAAAATAATAGATACACGCGTGTGGCATAAAACCCGTACACAAACGCCTAACTAGCTTTTCTTAATGTTAATCGCGAGGTTATTAATAATGTTAATAAGTAAAACTATTGTTATGATGTGATAGTTCAATTGGTAAGATTTCAATTTTCTCTGCATTCGGGACATTCAGATTAAAAGGTATTCTGTCAATATTATCCATTTATTAAAGAGTTTTGAAGAGGCTGCGGTTTATCATCAGGCTTGTGTAAATAGTTTTAATGCATTATAAAGCTTCCATCATCCAGTTACTATGTTGCTCAGCACAGTTGTTGCAACTTCACCCTAGTTTGCTTGACAAGTACATCTTCCGCGCAGTACATGAAGCTAGCGGGGGCCATGGTTGCCCTGCGTTTGGCGAGATCACATATCTCCTTTATCTTGCTTTAAAATATGTAATAAAAGCCTGATATTGAACAGCACCCTCTTCGAAACGTTTTAATGAATGGATAATATTGACTGAATATCTTCTTATCAACATATTGTCCCTAATTTTGGAGAAAATAGGATTAATTAATGAGTAAAACGAATTTGGTGTTACCTCTCGTACAATTTGAGATGCTTTAAAACCCCTCGTACTCAACCTGGCTTCAGATTATGCTAATTCCCAAACAAACGTATCAGCGAAACGTCTCCTGATTGTACGTCGATTTTTCTATAGTGGCCGATGAAATTAGGTCTGCCTTATGAAATGAATATTTTTAACAGTGGTAAGCACATTTTCGAAGCCCCGTTGAAAAGGATATTCGCGAATTTATTAAAAATGTTCATTTTATAAGGCACGAGGTATAACAATGACCTAATGTCAACGACCACTATAGAAAAATCGAAGTATAATCCTGGATAGTGTTAATCAGAGCCATCGTCCACAAGGCGGCTTACATAAAAGCCGCCTTCCTCGCACCCACTGTGCAACCGCCCGCCCGCCCGCTCGCTCGCTCGTTATGCGCACGCCTCGATGCGCCGACCTTGTACTTGTGCCGGGCGCGAAACACGCGCGGGGAGGGGGCGAGGCGCGGGCGCGGGCGTAGTCGCGACGGAGAGGTCGTTACCGCCCGCGTCATTAGCATACGGGGCCTTTCGTCGCGTGCCGTCGCGACCCGAAGACGCGCAGCATGCTGGCAAAGAGACTCGTAAACCAAATAAGGCCCGGAATGGGAGCGGGATGAAGACGGAGTGCTTTCATTGGTCGACGGGAGGCGCCGTCGCCTCGTCGAGGCAACCAACGGATGCGTTCTCTCGGTCGGGCCTGATGATGCGTCTCGAATGCACCTGGTTCGACTGGATTCAGTCTGGCACGTGTGTCGCGTTTTCCTCATTCCAGCCTGTTTCAAAGTTGGACCTCAATTTTCCTGCTTTGGTCATTCACCTTACAGTCATTCGCAAAACATCTCAAGCCGTACTCGAGTGTTCTGTGCTTCGACTTATTTGATGACTTAGTTTGTGTAGTTATTTATTATGCGTGTCGTGTTGTGATTTTATTTTTTATAGGGAATCAAATCGAATTTTTAGATTTGAAATCCGATTATACATATTTCACAAATTGATTGCTCAATAGTTCTTCATCACAGATACTTGAAGTTAATTGATATTAAATGCCGAGATAAATGCCTTTGTTTGAAGATTATTTTAGTCTTTTAGCAAGATAACCAACGATGTGTGAAGTATTCAACACATTAAAGTGTATGTATTTTGTGCTCTTAAAAACTTGTAATGTATGCGTACGTAGCTCATTCGCGAACGATTGATCAAAATGTCCACTCCCTGCTCTGACAGAACCTGAAAGAAACACGCCGTTGTTGCACTCGTGGTTTGCAAATGCGTCGCAGTGCGCCGACGGCGGGCGAGTCGCCCTCTGCGTCCACTGCCGTCACCGCCAGGGTCGCGCAGTCCGTCGAGGTCGCGACCGGCTGGCGCGCGGGGGAACCTTGAGGGCATCCTCGGTTGCACGACGCGGCGGCGGCGGCGGCGGCGGCGGCGGCGGCGAGCCGGGTTGCTGACGTCATTCCACTTTCACTAATCCACCGTCTGCCTTCCACAGCTTCTCCCCAGCCTCCGCGGCATACGCCGCCACCGCCGCTGCCGCCGCAACGACGGACAAAACGAAAGAGAAAAATTCCGGAACCAGAGGGAGCCGGCCCGCTTTATGCACGTCTCGGAGCAGCGGGAACAAACGAGCGGCGCCAGGGTGGTGCCGCGTCTCGCCCACCCTCCGCCAGGGGCGCTGTTCGCGGTTGCGGCTTACAGAAATTCTTGAAAGAGTTCGACTTAAAAAAAAAAACCCAAAAGGTTGCAAGATGAATGAAAATCACATTCAGTGCAAAATAATGAACTTCCTCGAAATGAGAAAAAAATGATAGGCTTGGAAAAAGAATCGTATTTTAAAACCAACCGCAAATCATATGTGATGCGCAAATCATATGATAACTGTATAATTATGTTGACTGATCTATATCAGTTCTGAGAAACCACCATTTTAGTGATATCGAAAGAAGGGTAATGTATTTACTGCATCATTCACGCTGATTCCATTCAATATTTAGTTCGTCGATCTTCCAATAGCGCTCGTATCTGCGGCTCCTGGTGACTATATTTTTTTGTTGTTTTGTTCTGTATTTGTTTTATTCTTTATATGTTTCAATGAAAATCCTATACAGTGCGCTTAAATGATTAATTGCATATTTTTTGTAAACTACTTAACTTTCTGGCATTATTTTATGAAAGGTACGCGTTTGTTGTACGTTTCTGTTTGACTTATTTGTAGAGTATTCTTTATATTTGATAGGCTCAAATCGCATATATTTTCGAGTGCACACGTCTAACGTAAGAAGCGAAGGTGATAGACGCAATGTAGCTACAGAGCAATTACGTCGCAACTGGTTTCGGTGATGATTCAACAAACGTAAACCTTGATCGTGCCGTACGAAGGGAAAGCGTGGACGATACGTAAGAGCTGAAATTACCTGGATATTGCAATTGTCATTACGCTTTGTTTAGTTTAGATGGCTATTAATTTCGGTGGAAGCATTATTGTGTGTTTCCCCGCGCTTACACCGCCCGCCGCGGGCGTTCCGCGAGCGTTTCGTCTGTCTGGCTTGCTTCATCCACCGCCCTCTCGACACCGTCCGTTCTGATCTCCGCCCGTGCGCCGCCGTCGTCGCCAAGGAAATTGGGCGACGAGTGAAACCGGCGAGTGTCGCGCTATCTGTC